CATCCTTGACCACAAGATGAACATGAGCCTGCAGTGCGATGCTGCAGCTAGTAAAGCGACAAAAACACTGGCTTGCATCCATAGATGCTTCTCAAGCAAATCCCGGGACGTCATTCTCCCCCTGTACTCAGCCTTAGTGAGGCCGCAGCTGGAGTACTGTGTCCAGTTTTGGGCTCCACAATTCAAAAAGGATGTGGAGAAGCTTGAGAGAGTCCAGAGAAGAGCCACGCGCATGATCAGAGGTCAGGGAAGCAGACCCTACGATGACAGGCTGAGAGCCCTGGGGCTCTTTAGCCTGAAAAAGCGCAGGCTCAGGGGTGATCTGATGGCCACCTACAAGTTTATCAAGGGTGACCACCAGCATCTGGGGGAACGTTTGTTCACCAGAGCGCCCCAAGGGATGACGAGGTCGAATGGTCACAAACTACTTCAAGATCGTTTCAGGCTGGACATAAGGAAGAACTTCTTTACTGTCCGAGCCCCCAAGGTCTGGAACAGCCTGCCACCGGAGGTGGTTCAAGCGCCTTCATTGAACACCTTCAAGATGAAACTGGATGCTTATCTTGCTGGGATCCTATGACCCCAGCTGACTTCCTGCCGTTTGGGCGGGGGGCTGGACTCGATGATTTTCCGAGGTCCCTTCCAGTCCTGATGTCTTTGAAACCTATGAAATCTATGAAATTATTTTTTTTTACTTCTTTTTATTTTATGTTTCAGTGACACTTCCTGCATTTTACTACCCTTCCCCCATCACCATTTCCTTTCCACCTCCCATATCATTATCTATGTTTCTCCCAGGAGAAGAAAGCACACCATCATCTCATTAACTCTAGACCTCCCAGCTCCATGTTCTCTGACCCCACCCAACAACCCATTTTGCACACCATTCCCATCTAGAGTAGGGATTGAAGCATGTCCTGACATCAGTCCTGTAGTGGCAATTTACAGCTGTATATTTGGTGGACAGTCAAAGAAGGTTTTGAACCTTAAGGTGTGACTGCTCCAAATTCAAGCTAGCTTTAACACTGATCAACATTCAAGCAGCGCAAAGTGCAATGTGTAAAAAAGCCCTAAAACTAAGTTATTATAGGGCCCATCTACACATTGTCTATGGCAGCATTGTCACTGTGCCATGCTTTAGTACTTCCTTTTTGGAGTACTAAAGCATGGCACAGTAACCACCTGTACTGTGCCATGCTTTAGTACTCCCAAAAGGAAGTACCAGGAGGGTACTTCTTAAATCTTAAACGTACCAGGAGGGTAAAGCTAGCACATAATATGTTAGCCTATGTGCTCCATAGAACATCTTGCTCTGAAAACATATATCATTGGTTTGTGATTTGCCTTGGACATCTTAGCTTCTGGGTGTGACTAAAGTAGATTTTAATTCATAAAATTCTAAATTACTTTGGCCCATGGGTCTAAACAACTGCCTTTCTCCCTGTGATCCATCACAGGAAGATCAATGATCACACCCAAACACGATTCTTCTTCCCCCTAGTAAAAAATAAAGGATTTTTATTGAGGTATCTTTGATGAATCAAACACTTGACCCTAATAGCTTAATGCTATTAATGTTCAATGAAAATTGCAAGATTTACCTTTTAAAAAGGGCTGTGGCAAAGGCAACATTATTTAGGGTATGTAATTTAAGGAGAACCGAGGGTTGTTTTTTTTAATTTAACCTGCAATATTATGTCTTATTTAGTTATTTTATTTTCAATATCATGTAATAGTCAATGCAAATTACCTAACTAAATAGAAATAAAAATAAATAAAAATAAAAGTAATGAAGCTTGCAGAGTTTCAGCATTTCTTAGAACCAGGTTTGCAGTTATTAAAATGTACATGGTTTGTGAAATCCATAGATTGTTTTTAATGCTAAGTTGCCAGCTTCTGAAAACCTTCTGAGATATTTGTGAGAGTCCCCTTAAGTAACTCATTTTTGTAGTAAACATTCCTTAACCTTCTAGTAAAATAATACCATCATGTTTTTGCACTATGCTTAGTACAATTCCATTATGGTGATTTATCTTGCTGTGTAATACAGGAGATTATTAAAGCAATATTCCCCTGATGGAGATAGCTTTTGAATATTTGTTTAAAATATGCAAGACTTGACCAAGATATCCAGATTGCTTTCTTTGATTTAATTTTTAAATCCTGAGAGACATCCTTAATATATTTGGATACCAGTCTCTGTCATAGTCATATTCTGCTAATGTATTATATTCATAGTTTCATAGTTGGAGAGTCGAAAGCGACCTGAGGAGATCATCTAGTCTGACCCCTGCCATGGCAGGAAACAATACTGGGGTCAAACGACCCCGGCCAGATGTTCATCCAGCCTTTTTTTAAAGACCCTCAGGGTAGGAGCCAGCACCACTTCTTTTGGAAGTTGGTTCCAGGTCCTAGCCACCCTGACAGTGAAATAGTGCCTCCTAATGTCTAGCCTGAAACTACCCTCCGCTAGCTTGTGTCTGTTGTTTCTTGTAACTCCTGGGGTTGCTCGGGGGAACAGGGACTCTCCCAATGCCTGCTGGTCCCCCTTGACTAGTTTGTAGACTGCCACTAGATCCCCTCTCAGCCTTCTCTTTTGGAGGCTGAACAGGTTCAGGTCCTTCAGCCTCTCCCCGTAGGGCCTGCCCTGCTGACCCCTGATCATGCGGGTGGCCCTCCTTTGGACCGTCTCCATATTGGCCACATCCCTCCTGAAGTGCGGCGCCCAGAACTGGACGCAGTACTCCAGCTGCGGCCTGACCAGTGTCACATAGAGGGGGAGGATCACCTCCTTGGACCTGCTTGAGATGCATCTGTGGATGCACGACAAGGTATGGTTGGCCTTCCTGACCGCATCCCCACACTGTCGGCCCATGTTCATTGTGGCATCAATGATGACTCCAAAATCCTTTTCTGTCTCAACACTGGCGAGAAGGAAGTTCCCCAGCCTGTAGGTGTGCCACTGGTTCTTCCTCCCCAGGTGCATTACCCTGCACTTGTCAGTATTGAACCCCATCCTGTTCTCATCGGCCCACCCCTGTAACCTGTCTAGATCTGCTTGCAGCCTGTTCTGTCCTACTAGTGTACCCACTTCACCCCATATTCAATGAATACAGTAAGATTTTACACAGACATACAAAAAAGAGGATACATATGAGAACTGCAAATTAAAATTCACTGAAATTCACTGGTATGGAAGATGAAAACTTCACTTTATCTGAAGCAATGTTAATTATTTAGGTATACTAACAGGTTGCAATAGAAATAGCATTTTAGAATTATTTAATTTACAGTATCTGTTCTGAATCTTGATAATGTTATTCTAAATGCATGTACTAGATTGTGATGGGTTTTCAGTTGTAGTGAGCATTAATTTTAAATTAGGATTTCTGAGTCTAATTTAATTCCAGGCTCCAGACTAAGATGTACATGTGTACAGATATAATCACCACAATATCCAGTAAAATAAAATATTGTATTTAATGTACACACAATTTCAAATTACTTTTGAGTTTATTTAAAATATGAAGTCATGTAATGTGTAAAGAGCACATAGTTACTAATTGAGAACTGGCAATTGATCTTGTATGTGTCAAGTAGCTCAACTGTCTGTAGTAAAAAATGCAAGAGACAAGGATGTTTTCAGGTGATACCTTTTCCCAGACATACTGCATTACTGGGGAAAAATCTTGATACGATTTTGAATGCAGGGCATTGACCTAATGAAAATGCCTTTCATTCAAAAGCCTGACAATCATCAGTTTGTCTAATAAAATATATCGCTCCAAAAAATCCTTGCCACTTGCATCTAGACCATCATGGCTACATCTCTCCAACATTAATAAAATATCTAAAAAAATAATTTGCTATATGATTAGTCAATAACATTATCTTTCTACATAGAAGTTTATAGTCTTTTTACAACAACCATGTATCCTGTATACACTAAGAAAAATCATGCTTCAGTAAAAAGGCTGAAAATGGTGAACACTTCCCTTTCCCTCTTATGTACCTGCTGTGTTTACAGAGTTAATCACTTATTTGATAAACTTCATTATATATACCTCATCTGCACTCCTCCCCCACCCGCAACAACAACTTGTCTTGTTACAAAAGGACAAGTAGCAGCTTTGGGCAGATTCTAGCTATCTCTGTTCTGAATCCCATCAAAATCTTAGAGAGACCAGTTTGCAGATCTTCTGAAACAGCATTTATAAAGGAAATTCAATGGCTTGACCTAAAGGACAGGCTGAGTCTGGGCAAATGCAGGGCACAGATGTTAGTGGATTTTGACAGGGTCTGAACTTTCTTCAGCATATTCAATTTGGAACTTAATATAATTAATATGGCTTGAATTTTTTTACACATAAATTCAGCTAGTTTTGATAATTGTTAAACATTTGATGGCATTTCTTCAGTTCAAATTTGCTTTATTATGTTACTTTACAAATCTGTATTAACATATGTCTATCTTTACTTTAGGTTTCAGTGGCTTTAATAAGTCTGTTTGAAACAATGCTCCTGACCTATCTGAGCTACAAGGTAAGCCTTTTTAGCTCAGTTCTTTGGATTTAGTAGATACATTTTCATTAATAGTAATGGGAGCATAACAATCCCTTCATGAGGAAATATAATAGTTGCAGGTAGGCATAAAAAATAGTAATCTTAACTGTCTAGGATTCTTTTAAAGGCTAGCTGGTGGTTCAAGAAAAGCATACTGTATCCCTGTACCAAGGTATCTAACTCACGTCTATGATCTATTAAATTCTGATCCATGTCACTCTGGGCCTGAACCAAAGCTTGAAGTCAATGGGATTTTTGCTGTCATTGGAATAGGAGCAATGTTTATTTTAAGGAAAGCTATAGAAAACTAAATTATAATAAATATCATAGTATGAAGACATACAGGTAGAAATAAGCACCCAAATGTCCGCTAGTGTAAATTGGCCTCATTCCATTAAACTTAGAAAAGTAGAACTAAAAAAAGAAAAGTAGAACTAAGTCAATTTCCCAAAGTAGGATATAGCACAAGAAAAGTAGTGCAGATTTTTAATATCTAGACTATAAAATTGCCAATATGGAAAACAAATGTGTGGCAAATAGCACCTTTGTTTCTGGAGATGTGATAGCTTCCTTCTTCAATTCTGCCAGCATGCTGCTGGGAATGGTGTTAGCTTAGCCTCTAGTGCTACAGTGTGACATTAAAGGCCTTGTTGCATGGGATACTTAGGAGGTATGTCTACATATTCATGAATGCACTGTAATTATGGCACTAATAATAACAGGTACTAACTAAAATAACAGGTACTAATGGGTATTAACTTAATGCACTATAATTGGCACTATTACACAATAGTGCAGATGAACACTTTTTGTGTGACGCTTAATGCATATTGGACTAAAGTGACTGCATTAGCACAGTTTTTGCCAGCCACACTAGTGAGCAGTAGAATTAGTTCAATGTGCATTGTCTCATGTAGATGTGCCCAGTAGGTGTTAAATATGTACAATATTAAAGGTAGAACATTTTCAGAGCGGTTGCACAGTAATGTTTACTGTTATCTTCTAACACACACAACTTGTTGTCTTTTGGTCCCAGCCCTGGTACCACACCAGAGTCTTGAACTGGCTCTGATATGGTGTAGAGCTCAAACCAATGATCAGGTCTGGGCACCCAGTTTTCAACTTAATCCTGAAGGAACGTGACAAATGAAAGGTCCAGGATCTTTTTCTTGATATGTGTGGCTTTTCTCATCCCAACTTGAGGTTTGATATGTCAGAGGGGTCCCTGGCTGATGTCATGCCTGAGTGAGGAATGCAAATTGCTCACATTGTCTCCATGAAGCAGTCCAACAATAGCTTAAGAAGTGTTACTTAATACAGTCTGGACATACCCCTTGCACAAAAAGTCATAACTTTGCTAGGAAACAAGAGGACTTAGCATGTGTGTAATTGCTTGAACACATGGCTACTTGCATTTTAAGTGCATTTAACACATACTAAATGAACTGTGCAACACATCCCTAAGGAATGCAATGGTGTTGTGACTGTAAACAAATATCTCATCCGAAGGTGTCCTGATTATGCAAGTCAAAGTCCAAGAAAAAAGAGGAGTGGCACAACCCTTTATACAGGTAGTCCTTCCAAGCTACATTGCTGCTCAGTGGCCAGGGAAAGCACACCTTCAAATGACTGCAAGTAACTGGAATGAACTGCTTTTAACTTGTAGAGGTACACAACATTGTCCCAGAGGAAAAAGTGGTAGCACACTTTATCTCTCATACTCTACAAGTACTTAAAGTGAGACAATAAGATCCCAAAACAAAAGGCTTTCTTTTCCTGGGAGAAATGTGACATCTATTTAGACTCTGGGAATGATTTTTTTTCTCCTCAGGACAATGAAGGCTATGTTCTTGATTGTTTTTGCTGGTATTAAAAATCAGATAACATTTTTCCCCAGATCTAGGTTAATCACATGTTAAATTATAATTTGAACAACTCCATACTCCAAATTTAATTTCAATCAGATCTTAACTTCCTGTCTTAAGCCAATGGAAAGATTTACTGACAGCAGTTTAAAAGGGTGATATATTTCAGTCCACAGGTGCCTCCAGTTTAGAGGGAGAGAGGAGGTGCACACAAATACAGACACAATATATATTTCTTTGGGAATCTTTGAAATGAAAGACTATATGTACAGTAATAATATCATATCATCATCTTCAGATTATATTATGTTATATAACCCCCTGGTAGTGTAGAATTAGCATGTATGTTGCATGATATTATGAATCATGCAACATATTATGAATTATGATATTATGAATCATTGGAAATACAGAATCAATACTTCTGTGGCATCAGTGCTTCTATGAACTTGCAGCAATGGAGAATGCCTGTTCCCTGCAGCACTTCTTATAATAATATTAAAACTAATAGTAATAGGGGAAGGGAACAGAGAATTCAAAACACTTACTGACATCAAGTATAAAATAAAAGACAGGTGAATTAAATGGTGAGTTTAAAGCCTACATTGCCACATTTTGTGCCTGCGTTTAAATGGTAGTGAAAAACAAGAATATGAGATATAGCTATAGAATTGGGCATGCTGCCTATGACAGCCCCTTTATTATTTCTCAAATCTGTTTGGTATCAGAGAATAATGTTTAAAACCAAGAACTGGAACTTAAATCTTTTAAAATCTTTCACTGCATCAGTGCCATTTACAGCCAAGATTTCAAAGTATTGGATGCCTGATTTTGGGTACAGAGCTTTATATACAGAGTTATTTTCCTTTTTGTTGGATATCCAGTGCTCTTATAGTTATATAGTTATGTCATGCTAATTGGCCACATATTCCAGGGTCCTGAATGTTGTATTACTTACACAAGTAACTGAGTCAACTGTATGAAAAAATACAACTATTTGGTGTTAGTATTTTCTCACTTCTCATACTTTGCACTTAGTTTGTATCAGTTTGAATGATTTAAAGTTATGGTGAATCTGTCCCATTCATAGTTATTCAGATGTATGCACAGTGGGTACCACCCTGATTTGCCACATATATTTTTGCAAACATAAATGACTATGCATGATGATGGCCAGTCCTTCCCAAAATATCTTATAATAATGAAAAAATTGTACATTTCCTCAACTGATTATTTTCATGTCACATGCCTGCATATAAGCTAATGTACTTACTCAACCTGTTAACTTTAAGCCCCCATTTTCACATAGTAATATAAATAATACAAATTTCAAATCCTCATTCATAATAGCTGACAGTTTATAGATGTTATGAATCATAGAATGGGAATAATAAGCATTATTCACAGTTATTCCTACATTTGAGGTGGAGCAAAAGACTTCTGGGAGATGTTAATTTAGTTGAATAATTGGAATCTGACAGATTTTATCTCAGATCTCAGAAACTTCCAGGATTAGCATGTTAATTGTAAAATAATCATAATATACCACGTGTTCAACCAGTTTATCATGCCATAAAATGGCAAACCAGCCAGGAAGATGTCCCATGGTTTATATTCACATGGAAACATAAGAACTGCTTTTTACTGGGTCAGACCATAGGTCCATCTTTCCCAGTATCCTCAGTCACATAGTGGCAGAGAATGGATGCTGAAAGGGAGAATGAACAGGGTAGGACAAGGGTTTTCGCCACTGTTTCTGTCTCACTTGCAGCCTCCATAATTTAAGGTGTAGATTAGAAAGTCCTGATTCTGAGGCTGTATTCCTGTGCCCCTTTCCTCCAAGAATTTACCCAATTCGTTTTTGAATTTGGCTAAACAGTCGGTTTGCACATCTTATAGCAATGAGTTGCACAGTTTAATTACATGCTGTATGAAAAAGAGCTTCCTTTGGTTAGTTTTAAGCTTTTTACCTACCAGTTTCATTTTATGATGCCTGGTTCTTGTCTTGTGAGAGATAGGGATTAATAAATCCCATAGATTAACGTGAGAGATAGAGATTAATAAATCCCTATTTACTTTCTCTTTATCATTATGTTTTTTGTAAACTCTTATCATGTCCCCCCTCAAGTGTCTCTTTTCTAAACTAAGTTGGCCTAGCCTCTTTAGTCTATCCTCATATAGAAGCCCCTCCATATCGCTAAACATCCCTGTTGCCCTTCTTTGTACCTTATCTAGTTATTCTCTATTCTTTTTAATGTAAGGGTTACAAACTGGGCACAGTATTCAAGGTGTGGACACAGCATGGATTTATAAAGAGTCATAATGTTACTTTGTTTTGTTTATAATTCCTTTTTTGATAATCCCTAATATTTTATTTGCCTTTCAATGGGCATCACAGTCAGTTGGTGTAAATGGAGGAAAAAGTCCCAGATTTTAGTGAACTGTTCAGAATGACTCCCCAATCTCTTTCCCATGAGGTAACAGCTAATACCCATCACAGTGTAGGTATAGTTTGGGTTATTTTTGCCCCAAAACGTGCATCACTTTACAGTTATTTACACTGAATTTCCCCTGCCATTTAGTTGCCCATTCACTCAATAATGCCACATCCTTCCGTAGTTCCTCTCAGTCCGCTTTGCTCTTCACCATTTTGCATAATTTTGTATCACCTGCAAATTTGGCCACCTCACTACTCACCCCTTTTTCCAGATCATGTATCAATATTTTAAATAGCATTAGTCCCAACACAGATCCTTGGGGGAATCCCTCTGTTTAGTTCTTTCCTTCCCCCAAAAATGACTATTTATACTCACTCCTTGTATTCCATCTTTGCACCAATTACTATTCCATGAGTGGATGTTTCCTACTTCTTTAAGAGTAGGGTAACCATACATCCTGGATTGGGCAGGACAGTACCAGTTTTAGCAAGCCATCCTAGCATCCCAGCCAGTTGGTGTAAATTGAAGCAAAAGGTTCAGATTCAGCTACTTCAGGCAGAGGCAAAGGCAGAGGCAGAGGCTGAAGTTGCTGCTGCCCACAGTGCCAGGGCTGGTTCCTGCTCAGCAGTAGCTAGAGGTGGAAGGGTGGGGCAGGGATAAGATGGACTGGGCACCA